GAATTGGCGGATGGTGTGTGTGTGTGTGTGTACTGTACATCTGAATTGCACCAGGGGTTTGCATCCTTGAAGCTGCTTTTGTTATATGTTGGTCGGGTCACTTCTCCTGAGACTACATCAAAAATAAGGATAAGAATTATTGGATGAAAAAGAGCCGCCGGTTATCCGAATAATATGTTACATAGCACGACAATATACAACATTAAATGTGTGTGTGTGACTGTATGTATAGGTATAGCTTTTTTTTTATTTGAAAGAGGACAATTTCATGAACACTAATAATCTAAAGAGTAATGTAAAATAATGCAGCTATTGACAGCATGCTTAAACTAGATAATAATTGCGAATCACTGCCAATATGCCCGTGATTACCCCCAACGATGAACTCATAGATGACTGTCCTGTAGGTAATAGGAAGATGGATATTGCAGCGTGACTTTTAATATAGAACAAAAAACTTACACCACATTAAGGAAAACATATCTCTGTAATTACCGTTTCTGTTCTATCTTCCATGAGTGGGGAAACATCAAGCTAAACTCCCTACCCTCTTATACCTCCGATTGATGGAATATCTTGCTGCATTCTTCCACGAGTAGCCTAGAACTGATCAGCTATAACTTGATGGGCGGCTATCAGTAAGTAGTTCTTTATCTGGTGGTTCTGTACGCAAGTCATCAGACAATGATAATGGAGCCAACACAGGGCCTGGAGTTACCTCTCTTTGGATAATCCTGCTACATCCATGAGACATTTCAATCCAAAACTTTTTAAAGGATTGAACATTGCCACCACTTAACAAAGTATGTTCCCGTCTCTCCAGCCTAAATTGCCATTCCATTTATAGGTGTGTTGCAGTCTCACGGATGGGGATGATATCGAATTATTTTGAGATTTAGACCCCTAGTATGGGCAGATGTAGATTTAAGGGAGGGGATGGATCATATCCTGTTCAAACACCTCCTCCCTAACCTCCTTTCATCTCACTAAAGTCCGAGATTCTGAGAAACTTAAACGCTCACAGATCTTTGAGGCCAGCCCTTTTGCACTCTCCAACATAAAGTGAATTTCCTCAGCGTTACTATATTTGAAAGAGGATAGAGCTTTATGCTTGGCTTCGGCTTCTGGGTTGTAAGGAGTGGTATAAGCCAGGGATCTGAGTTTGGACCCAGCCCTAAACAAACCATGGATAGAGTTTTCCTGGTTTAATTTACCGCCAGCAGGAAGAACTTAATAAAAGCCGTTCTTACTTGATTGGCCAGAATTAAGAATTGTGTAAATAATCAGAACAGCCTATCTGAATATTGCTCAGAGTGGTTTTTGTTTTAAAGACTCTCATGTATTTGTGTCAGATTGATAATGTTTATTTTGGTCAGTGACCAGATAAAGCAAATACACACAAACAAAATACAGCAGGAACCATTCGCAAAGACATCACGGAACTAAACATAAGAAAAGAGATAATGCAATACTATCAGAACTATAATTCTGTGGTTCTAATGATTAATGTTCAAGGAAAAGGGGGGAAAAACTCTAAAAAGAGGAAATAAATGCTCAAAAGAAAAAGTGCAGTAAATTGAAAACGTGACTATAAAATGTACTACAGGTTCTAGTGACCCAAAATATTGAGGCATTTATTAGAAAAAAGTATTGGAATGATGGCAGTTGATATTTCACTCCTATATAGTGGGAGATGAATGGACCTAGTGTGAGAATATCAATCATGTGAGGTAGTGGTCGGTTGTTTGCCCACATTCACAACGGCTATAAGAACTTTGCTACATTATGGTGATAAAACTTTGTCTAATAAGAGGGAATATTTATGGCAGCGCATATCTAACTATCTACTTTTGTAGCACACTGATAAGTACGTTCATCAGTTGAATAACTGAGCATGGTTTGAAGTGGGAATCCTACCACATCACCATAATTGCTTAATGCTTGGAAATCAAACCGGCCTGTTGGTGGAAGAGATAAAGTGTTAGTTGCCTTGGAACATGCTGGGTTTAACTAGACTTTCTTACTTTCAACTTAATAATTTTCAGATAGTACTGAAGGGTTTGGCCTACAGTCACAAAGAGCAAGGGTCTTGTAGTAGTAGTAGTAGTAGTAGTAGTAATAATAATAATAATAATAATAATAGAAAGAGAGGAGGAGGAGGAGGAGGAGGAAACAGATCCTTCCCCCCTTTTTAAAAAAATCCAAGAGAGAGCTGATTCTTAAATTATTGATACTGTGCCTCATGGCGTCCTTCTCATGCAGCATTCTGAAACTGCTGACTTTCTGGGGTGCAGGGTGAGAGTTGACAGCTGCTGGCAAGTATTAAAAAAGGGAGAGGTAGAAGATCTTAGATCCTGCTGGGCTTTCAAAGTCCCAGGGATCAGTGGCTCTTAGCCTGGATGGTAGTGGGACTGCCTGTGAAGGCCGTCTGCTGGTGGGCTTCCTTGTGCAATTTGTGGACCATTGGGAGAGCAAACTGTTGGACTGGATGGGCCAGGGGTCCCATCCAGCAGGGCACAGCTTATGCTCTTATCTTCTTCTTCTGCGGAAAGGCAAATTGGGAGGGCTTCGTCGCAGGAAGAGGCAGGAACAGGCCACTGCTGGGAAAGTTCAAAAGGTTTGAAGAGAAAACGCTAGATGATGATGGGACATGAGAAGTCTTTGGCTCAGTTTGGGTAAATAACTGTTGGGGATGGGGTTGTTGAACTGGAAACATGCACCATCTGTTGGGCAACCTCATTTTGTGTCATGGCTTCCCATAATGGAATTCTGGGAATTGTAGTGACGAGGGTATCTAAACTAACCAGAAACCGTTCTTGAATACCCTTCAGCTGGCACGTGGGGTTTCATGCAGATTTCCTTATGGCGAAATCCTGGGCAGAATGATTCAGAAGTCACCTCCACACTCCCAAATTTCCAGCAAGGAAATCTCTGGTGGGTTGCGACTCCAAAACTATAGAAGGGGACATAATCCTGCCTCCCCCTCCTCTCGAAGAAGCTACTATCATGGGAGAATTTGCCAGGAGAGAGGTAGGATTGGGCTCCCTACCTTGCAGATGTTTGGTGATCTTGTGAATCGGGGGTGGGGGGCTCGAGGGGAAAGAGAAACATTTAAGTTATGTGAGCTATTCCAGAGCTACCTTACATGTAAAACATCTTACCAACGCCCCCCTTAGTTATTTCAAGTTGAGCGGCTGAAGAAAGTTGCTGAAGAAACTTTTCACCAGAGGAACAGAGAGCTGCTTCCTATTCTAAAACAGAACGAGATGAACTTACACACCCTAACTCTGTATGAGTTAAACAGGTTTGCTTGGTCAGATTCCAAGCCTTGCAAAAAAGCACAGCAACCTGTTTTTAGAAGCATTTTGTCGATTGTTCCTCATAATGGCTTTAGCAAACTTTTTAGTTAGCGCGAATTGTGTTTGCCAAGCAAAGCGTGTTAGATTTGACCTGAAAGCCAAAAAGCTTGTTTAACTGTTGATTCCTTGCCCTCCCCTTCCATTTTCTTCTCCCTTCCAGAACCAAATTCTGTGAGCTGTTCAGCTTTAAGTGCTTAGTAAATTTTAATAATGCATTTCTAATGCAATCTATCTGATAAGGCAAGTGCTCTTACAATTACTTTTGCCTGCTGAACTTGGTTTATCTGGTAGCCTTTAAGCAGCTCCCGTCACCTCCTCCGGGTGTAGTTTGCCCAGTAGATGAAGTATTTATACATACCTAGATAAGAGCTAATTCTCTCAGAAGGAATTCCTGAGAAGGCTTGTTACTCAATAGATCTTGTGGCATAGCTCCATTTAATGTTCTTCGGGTGTTTTGAAACCCTCACAAGAGGGTATAAATGGCTTCCCTGTCCTGTGAAAACTGTCTAGAAAACAGCGTCTTGTCACCAAATCTTTGACGCGCGCCTGGCTTTTTAGCAAGGTTGGCCTTTCATCCAGCCTGAGTGACATCACTTCTAAATATTTTTCTTCCCAATGTTCTTCCACCACAGGGAAATATTAGGCTGAGGCTGAGTCTAAGCTGGTAGGAGAAGGAGGTAGGACAAATCTGGTCGGGATAGGGCCCAGATGATGCTGGGGTCAAAAATAAGAAATTTGAGGCTGCCAGATATTTTGGGCGTTGACTCCCGTGAGACATAGCCAGCATGGAGAGAGAGGTTGTGGGACTTCTAGCTCAGAGATTTTTAAGAACATCCGAATATCTACCCTCAGCAAGGAACAGCTTTTGTTTGAGTATCTGGAAAGTTAGTCTTACATCAGAGGGAATCATGGTAGGACTCGATGTAAGGCAGCTTCCAACAGCTTGTTGGTAGGTGGGCAGGAAGAGAATTGAATTTAGTTTCTCCGTGTAAAGCATTCCTGTAAGTCGAGAGAGGGTTTGGTTAAATTTTCACTTACAGGGCTGTTCCCCCTCAGAGGAGCATCTGCAAATACAGAAGCACGGTTTTTGCTTGGCCCCCAACTTTGCATCTTACTGTGGCTTTGTTTCGGGTGGAACGGACCCAGGCCTTTTGGCCTGCACGGGGACCGTGGGCCGGCCTTGAGGCACAGCCGGCGCCTCGCCACCGCCAGCAGAGAGAACCGGTTGCCAGCAAGCTGACTTTTGAGGCTTCCTAGGAAGACCTGGTTGGGAACTGAGAATGGGGGAGCACCACGCCAGATAAATGTGCCTCCTTAGATTTTCTTTAGACGTGTGCGCACACTCACAAACACACACGCACACACGCTCTTATTCAAAATTGCTCTGCTCTCTCCACCGCAGATAGCAGGAGTTAATGACAGTGTGTCAAAGCGTTAACTTAGAATTTCCCCAGCTCTTGTTGGTTTGTGTCACAACCTTAATGTTACTTAAACTAGGTATTCTATTTAATTATAATGCTTATAATAAAGTCAGATGTCAGCTCACTTGGCTGCGTGCTCAGGCCTGCACAGGGCTGAGTGCTTTGCTTGTAACTCCATCCCTTGTCTCCTTTCATTATCTGTTAATGGTACTCAACATGACAGGGTTGTTTTGATAAATGGAGGCTGTGCCAAAAGACGGGCTGGATTTCCTGCGGCTTTGGAGCAGGAGCCGCCTTTGCACAGCAGCCGCTGAGCGGGTGCTGGTTTGGGGTAGTTTGCGTGGGCTGGGCTTTTCCTGAAATGCGCTGCTCTGGAACCAAGCTCTGCGGGGATGAATTTCTGACCTGTGGAATTCATCCGGCCTTCGTAGCGTGGCCAGAAACGTGGCTCTTCAAAAGCCCACACGGACAAAAAAATAAACCCCGCTGCCATTAGTTGAACTTTAAACTGGTTTTTCAGTGGGGCTGGGGTCACGCAGGGTATGAACTGTTCCTCGATGAGCACGTTACTCCATCCCGGTTGTTTGCAAGGCAGACCGACAACCAGGTATGTCACCCCTTAATGTAAACAGAAAGAAGAGGAGATGAGATTTGTCCCCAGGGGTTGGGTCCGGTCGAGAGAGAGAGCTTAGGGAGTGCACTTGGTCTGCCCAGCCAAGCTCGTGGCGCTGTTGACGGGGAGAAGTAGGGGCAGGCCCTTCTTCACCGTCTGTGGTGCCTGGGAGGACCTTGGGGCTTCAGTGAGCCACGTGGCTGGTTCCATCTTGTGCAGGATCCATAAGTGCGCTGGACGGCCCGTCTCACTTCCCATTTCCCTGGCCATGTTTTGTGGCTTGGGGGAGACAAAAGACAACCCGTATGCAAAACAGACATGGGTCCTGGGCTGCCTTTCCTCCTGTAGTTCTTTGTTCTCATCTTGGGACAAGCTGGAAAGGATCTCAGTTTCTGTTTCTTTGCCTAAACAAACAAACGAGTAATTTCCCTGCTGCCATTCAGATGAAAGAAATACTCCCCACCCTTGTACGATCCGATCCGAGGCCGCGTCGGAGGAGGGCTGAGTTGATCTCCTTGGGCAAGGAGTTTGGAGTCGGGGCAGTATGGTGTGTGACTTATGAGCTTTGTATCTGTTTTCTTTAAAAGCCCAGCCGATATTATTGTGGTTGCTTAACCTTGTTAGCTCCCTTTCTGTTTGCCTTGAGGATGCAGGGCTTCTTGGCAACATGGGATTATAATCCTCATTTCTTCCCCCTTGGCCACAGTGCATCTCCTGCTTTAGACAAAAGGTCTGGATAACGTGGAGTTGGGTTGCACTAGGTTGTAGCTAAGCTGCATTAAGAGAGAAAGGGCTACTGTAGTCCCGTAAAAAAAAGACCCAAAGTAACACAGGTTGGTCCATTCACCTACTACTTATTTATTGCCAGCCACACCTCTAAAGCCAGAAAGGATTATGTCTCTGTTCTGAGCCACCTCGAAGACTCTGCAACACCACAAAGAGGCCGTGTAAGTTTCAAAAATAAATTCTGTGTTGGTACTTCGGGACAGTATCCTCAGTTCAGTTTAGTCCTCACTAGAAGCAATCAATAAACCTTCCAGGAAAAACTAGCATTGTGTGTGGAGGCGGGGTGTGGGAGAAAAGAAATTCTTGCAGACGGTTGTCAGATTAATTGCGATATTCTTGGTATAAAATTGCAGGTCAGTTCAGCTATTCTATCCTATTATTGTTCAGTGCTTCCTGCTGCAAAAATGGTTGGCAGTTCTGGCTGAGATGGTAACGCCGCCTCGATGTGGTTCTCCTGGGGCAAGAGATTGTGCATTGCACGGCTCACTTGATTTCATCCAGAGTGGAAGAGCTGGCTTTCTATCTCTTCCGTGCCCCATTTCTCCCATCCCGATGCCAGCCTGCCAACTCGCTGTGACCTTGGCAGAGTCACGGTGACTTCAGCACTTCTTTGTTGACTTCAGCTGTGTGGCTCAGCTCCCTTTTGTTGTTGTGGGGTTAAACCAAAGGAGAAGCTTGGTCTGGCTATTCCCTGGGCTACGAGAGCCAGTTTGATGTCGCAGTTCAAGGTACCAGGCCAGAAACCAGGAGACCGTGACTTCTCGTCCTGCCATGGACCCGAAGCCAGCTGGGCGACTTTGGGCCAGGCCGCCTCTCTCAGCCATAGGAAGCAGGCAGTGGCCAACCGCTTCCAAAAAGGTTGCCCACCAAAGTTCAGGGACTTGTCCAGGCAGTTGCCAGGGGTCAAGGCTGACTTGAAAGCACAAATTTCATTCTCTCTTACTTGTGGAAGTTTTTCATTCTCATATGTCTGGCTTGGTCTTTCTGTTTTGTTTTTCTTTGAGTTAGCATGTTGTGTTGACGTAAGATAGCATTGACAAAATGTGTATTTTGCATTGCTTGACTCTGCTAGCCGCCCGTGGCTTCCTGCGTGGCAGTTTTCAGAAAGGGAAAGAGGTGCTCCGTGGAGCTTGATTCCAGAGTGGACTTTTTTGGGGGGGTTGTTTCACCTCCCTCACGAAACCCTGTAGCTGTGAAGCTGATTTTCACTGCTGCATTCCCCTTGGGTGAGAAACCTCACTGATGCTTCTTTGGTGTAGGGAACACAGGTTTGGCCTTTCCGGGTGCCAGCGGCATGGTGCTCCATTGGCCAGGCAGGCAGCGAACACAGCGGGCAACTCAGCCGCTTGTTGCTGCTTTCAAACGCATTAAGTCTTCAAGTTGGACTTCAAGAGTATCTCCGAAGGGTTACAGCGCTCAACAAGATGCTAGCCATTAACAACCACTGAGCAGTAAATATGCATGCCAGATGCTGGAGATAACGTGCTGGCCTGTTTCGTCCCCCACCAATGCAGGGTTTGTTCCTTTTTGCTTGCTCTTCTGTTACGGGCGGGTCTTGGGACCCTAATCCAAGTATATGTTGGCAGGGATGAAACAAACGAGGTTGCTACGCAGGTCACACGGGATTAGTTGTGCAGCCTTAAGAGAGAGTCGTGGGGTGTCCTCTGAATCTCTCGGCGCTGCAAAACTGGTCCTCACTCTCTCCCCAACTTATGACACTGGGGCGCGATCGACGTAGGTGCCACACAAGGAGGCACAGGATGCCCTTGCCCACACCAGGGCAGGTGTGGGGAGAGATGGGCATTTCGGATGGCTGCAAGCTCCCGAGGCTTCTCTTTCTCAGGGCCGTGCTCCCTTTTGCTGGAAAGCTGGGCTGGCACCAACGGCGTGCGTTTCTTTGTCGTTGTCGTTATGATTGTTGGAACGGCTTTCCGGTGCGGAGTTGGAGCCAAGAGCCCCTCCCGCGCTCCCCGGTTGGCATCCGGGCCTCTCCTCCCTCGGAGGGCGATTTGCCCCGTTTTGTTTCCTCCTCTCCGCCCCCCCCCCCTCCTCCTTTGGACTGCCCCTCCTCCCCCCCCCGGGGGGGCGGCGGGGGGAGGTAGCGCGGGCAGGTCCGCGCCGGGATCGCTGCGCTCGCCAGGCAGCGCAGCCCGGTTGCTCTCCCGGCCGGGCAGGCCAGCCGCGCGCCCG